CACACACACACACACACACACACACACACACACACACACACACACACACGAACTGCTTCAGTAGGTCATGCACGGCCTAATGTGCTGGAGCTCCCAGCCTGGCACGGAAGGCAGATTTGTGGGCAGCTAAGTTATCTGTACAAGGGGTGCAGGAGCTCACAGGCATGCTCCGTGGAAGCTTGCTTATCTGCATCTGTCAGCAGGGAATCTTCCTGAGGATGAGACAGGAGCGATCTGTGTCACTGCCCATCTCACAAGCCTGCTCTGGCTGTGAAATCTTGACATTGCTGTAGGTTTTGTTCTGTTTTCTAATCAATAGACATCATGGTGGCCCCTGAGGACATCATGGCCTTATTCTAATTGGCTGCCACTAAGCAGACCGTCTCTGGCTCCTTTGAGGATGGCTGTCTAAACCTACATATGATGCGGAGGTTCACCTCTGAGCTGAGCCAGGGGCCTGGTGAGCAGGGCAGGCCTTGAGCTGAGCAGAATTAAAGCAGGGAACATCTCCTGGTGATGCTGAGGACTGCTCTGGAGGTGGGTCCCAGAGGCAAGCATTTCCAAAGCGTGTTAGACATTCTTGGAGATAGGATTGTCTTTATCTGGGGCAAGATGAACCCATCGAGGCCTGTAGAAAACCACTACCCTCAGCTGATATGAGAGGACACTGTTGGGAAGTTCAATTCCTCACTCCAAGCCTCTGTCTCTGAGATCACAAAGAGCAGAAAAGCAGGAAGCCTTGTTGGAGAGGTGTAGTTATTCCGGAAGTTGCCCCAAGGGCTGGCTCTGTACTCCTGCTGTGTTCCTTCATACCCTGATTATCTGAGCACTGTGGGAAACTGGGACCCGGAAGATTCAGGTCTGAGCCTGGCTTCATCACTTCCTAGTTGCCTGTCTTTGTGTGAGGGACTCACCTCTCTGAGCTGTGGCTTCCTCCTGACCTTGGACCTTCCAGCCCTGGAGTTTTCAGATAGTCCTCACGTAAAGATACAGTTTAGAGGGAACACTGGCTCCAGTCTCTCTAGGTGACAGGTCAGGACAGAATCCCCCACGTCTAAACCATGACAGCTGACCTCTGTACATCAGGCTGACTAGCTCTCTCTGATTTTCTAGATTCTCCCAGGATGCATCTCCGGCATCTGACCAGGAGTCAGCTTTCTCCTTTGATGCCAGGGAAGGCAGGCACCCAGGTCCTAGGAGGGAAGTGTGATGCCTTTTCCTAGGCAGCACTTGGAGAGTTGTGAGGCCCTTTCACAGAGGGTATTTCACGAGCACTCACTGGAAGCATGTGGGGAGCTGTTTCCCACACTTTAGAGATGTGGTGGGTCCAGTCTGAGAAAGGGTTCTAGTGGGTGAGGCAGTAAGCTGGCTGAGGAGGGAGATGTCTCCCCTCTACAGTGGGCAGCCATGGCCGCCTGACCGCAGCCTGAAGCCGGATGTCCAGTGTGACAGGACAGAGATGGGAGTGGGGCTCACTGAGGCAGGCTTTGTCTTGTCTTGTCTGAGAACTGGATGCCCTGTTTGCTGTCCTGTGCTAGTGCCAATGCCACTTTTTCACCCTTACTGCACGCACAATGCTCCCTCTGCCCAGAAAGGAAAAGAGAAGAAGAAAGCCAAGTACGACAGCTTGCAGGACCTGAGGAAGAACAAGAAAGAGCTGGAGTTTGAGCAAAAGCTGTACAAAGAGAAGGAAGAGATGCTAGAGAAGGAGAAGCAGCTGAAGATCAACCGCCTGGCCCAGGAGGTGTGTGCGCAGTCCCGGGCCATCCTAGTGCCCACCATACTGCCAAGGGCGCATTCTCCACAGACGGAGAATAAACACAGGCTCCCTCCCGCCTACGCAGGGTCATCTGAGGTCAACTCTAGGTTAGGAGCATGTTGAGACTGAGACTAGCCTCCTGGTTTAGAGACAGGGTCTGAGGCTAGCCTCCCTGCTCAGACTAGGTCTCAGGCTAGTCCCTGATACATAATTCTGCCTCCTTTACTCTGCCCCACCACGGTGTGATTCTTGGCACTCTAGATATGACAGTGGAGCTGGTCTTCTGGCTCACAGTCTATCTGAGGTGATAGACTGTGCCTCTCATGAATGCCTGGCTACCCTTGCACTTGCCTGTCTGATTCAGTCTGCTCTCACCAAGCTGGCTTGGCTCTCCATGTTTGGGTCCAACTTTTTAGTGTAGATGTCAAGTCTGAAACTTCCTCCGGTAAATCGTGTGTAGAGTCTGAGGCTTGTCCCGTCACCACAGTGTGTCTGAGGCTAGACCTCTATGACCTGGGAATATATCTAAGGCTAACCGTGTGAATAGTCCTCTCACAGTAGTTTCTGTGTGTTGAGTGAGTTGGTTGGCCTGAAATTCCTGGCTGCAGGCAGTGTTCTTTCTGCTTCTCTTTAATGCTCCCATGAATCACAATGCCAAGCTGATTAGATTATAAAACCAGAGAAGTCCTGGGAAATGCGAAGTGTATTAGGTCTGGCATTAGGAATAGATTAGCTTCAAAATGAAGAAAAAGATTGGACTTGGATTTCTAAGGACAGAGCAGCCTTGATGGGAAACAAGAATAAGGTTAAATCCATAAAAGGAAAGCTGCTACAAAAGAACCCCAAGAGCTTCAGGGTTCTGTGGATGCTGGGAGCCAGCATCATTAGGCAAGGCATGGACCTGCAGGTTTTCTCAGCACCCCGACTCCCCAGCCTCTGCTTCCTAACTTCTGTTGTCAGGTCCAGGTGGAAGAAGCCTGATTCTTTTTCTTTATGCTGACATGCAAACAAGTACTGGGGGGTTAGAGCAGGCCTCTGTGTGTTACTGTCCACATCACTCAGTGTACGCTTTGTCCTCTCCTGTTGACACGGATCCTGGGTCCCAGGTGTCTGAGACTGAGCGGGAAGACCTTGAGGAATCGGAAAAGACTCAGTATTGGGTGGAGAGGCTCTGTCAGACGCGCCTTCAGCAGATCTCCTCTGCCGAGAATGAGATTGCTGAGGTAACAGAAATGTCTTTTCACATGAATTCTCCCGGCACCTTCAGAACCCTGGGGACAGTGGGAGGCGCGATGGCCATTAGTGATCGTCACTGTCACTCTGGTACATGTTTCACTGTCTACGACTCATCACCTCCCTGGAGGGGACGTGAGTCTGTATTTATGAATTTATCCTCTGAGGGACCACAAGTCCCTTCTGTCCTCCACTGGGCTTTGTCCCTGCTGTCCTTACTGAGGGTCGCCTCTAGAGGGTAAACTGTCTGATCATGCCCAGATGGCAGAGCTTGGACTTCTGTTTGGCCTCCTCTCTCCCAGCCCTACTTGGCTCTGCTGGGCCGCTGGGTGGCAGCGCCCGTGGTTCTGGTTTGAGTGACAGGGCTCCACAGCAAAAGAAAGAGAGCAGAGCATTGCTGTTGATGTGCTCCGGGATGAACACTGACAGAACTTCTTCACCCCCAGATGACTACAGGGCCCCCACCTCCCCCACCTTCTGTGTCTCCTCTGGCCCCACCCCTGAGGCGCTTCGCTGGTGGGCTCCACCTCCACACCACTGACCTGGACGACATCCCCCTGGACATGTTCTACTACCCCCCCAAGACCCCCTCGGCACTGCCTGTGATGCCCCACCCTCCTCCCGCCAGCCCACCCCCCAAGGTTCCCGCCCCTCCTGTGCTTCCTTCAGCAGGACACATGAGCACCTCATCCTCACCTTGGGTGCAACGCACGCCACCCCCCATCCCCATTCCTCCGCCTCCATCCATTCCCACCCAAGACCTCACTCCCACCCGCCCACTGCCCTCAGCACTGGAAGAGGCCCTGGGCAACCACCCCTTCCGCATCGGAGACCCAGGTCATCCAGGAGATGACTGGGAGGCAAATACTCACAGTGGGAAACCCACCAGCTCCCCCACCCCTGAGCGGAGCTTCCCCCCCACCCCAAAGGTACCGTCTGATTCTGCGTGCTGTGCTTGCAAACAAAGTGGGGTATGGGTGCTGTTTCCCGAGCCCTCCGAGGCTGCAGTGAGTGGAGATGGAAGGAAACATCATCTTGCCCCGTCTCCCATGTGTGCTGTCCTGCCCTGCATGCATGTGCTCTCTACTGGTTTTGAAGCCCCGTGTTTGCATGGTGAATTGCTGTGACCACGAAATGAGCAGCAGTGCGTTGGGTCAGTGGTGTTGCCCTCCTAGTTAGCTCCTGAGAGAGTGAGTGCTGGTGACCTGCAGCGCGGTACTTTTTGGTTGTGCAGACGAGTAGCCTGCTGGGTTTTCATAGTGACGGAGAAACCCTCACATGTGGGACGTGAGCCCCTGGTGTAACTGGAGAAGGGGGACGTGGGGAAAGCTGTCGGGTAGCTAGCTCTGAAGATGAAGGGATAACAACCCAGGACAGGCCTACGACATTACAGCTCGTTTTCCCACAGCACCAGCCAGCAGCAGCACTGGCTTGGCGTGGAATACTCAGACACTTCTGGCCACTGCCCAAGAAACACTGAAGATGAGAGAGTTCTTAGAGATCCTCAAATTTACTATTAAAAGATGAGGAATGTTTTTCTTGGATGTTGAGAGACTGAGCGGCTGTGCTTTGACAAAGACATATTTCCCATTGATTGATCTTTATCCAAAGACTGCTTTGGAAGAGCCAGTCCCTGAGGGCCGTGTGAGACTTTGATCCTGGCAGCCAGTGGCCAGGCTGGAGATTCAGCGGAGGAGGCTCCTGTCCACTGGGGCAGCACGCCACTCAAGTTCCTGAAGGGAGAGGGGGTTCGGGAGGTCAGTCAGGGGAGTCAAGGGCGGTGCCAGGAGCCTGATGCTGACTGGCTGACAGTCCCGGCAGGAGGATCACAGGGCAGGGAGGATCACGAGGGAGTGGAATCCTGTGGACCTCTGGTGAGGGACTTGATTCCTGCAGCTCAGATAGGGAAAGAGATGTCTCCTTACTCCCGGAACATTTCCCTGGAGCCCAACCAGACATCAGGTTTAGGAGACTGTGTTGGCCTGGCACAGAAGGCCCTGTGCTTCTCTGTAAGTGAAGAGAAGGTAGGTAGTAGCTTCTCCTCAACATTTCTGATTCTGAGATCAGACAACACGTTCAGACTTTGCACCTCTTGGTAGACGGAGCCAAGCTGAAGAAGCTCCCACAAGACTGCACACCTGGACCCGCCAGGGGTTAGCATTTCTCTTCAGAAAGTGACTACAGAAACACAGCTCTTCTCTGAGCTAGCACAGTTAGCCCAGCTGCCTAGTTGAGGCTTAGAGCTAAGCCTTGTGGGGTTCACTGCAGAGTGAGCAGAGGCAGGTCGTTAGAGCAGCGAGGAACATAATGATGGCACCAGAAACGGTAATGGGTCATCCCTTGGAGCCTGGAGTCTTGCTCTGCGTTCTCTGGAGAAATGGCTTTGGCACCTATTACTCCTTGTATGTGAGCATGGAGGTCTATAAAATAGGAAAGCAAACAGCCCCTGCTAGGGCCATGTGCGTGCTAGGAAGGCACTGTACCACATATTCCGTCTCCACCCTGAAGGAATGCACTCTGAGTTAATACTTAAAAGGGTGGCATGGGCACGGTCGGTGCTCAGCAGGCAGCGATGGTGGCCATTAAGAGTCCCTAGTCCAAGCAAATTAGAATGAAGTAAATTAGAACAAAACCATGAATGGGAGATCATTTCAGCAAACATCAAGTCAAGGCACAAAACTGGCTCCGCTCTCTCTAACTCTCCAAGGAACTAAGAAATCCCCACTGTTCACTGCTGACCAGAGCAAAGGGAGGTTAAAGTCCCCACAGAAAGCACCTTAAAGGACCAGACCACCATGAGCATCTCACAGAAAACCTGGGGCTGTTCTTGTCTGGAGGCCTTCATCCCATCCGCCCTGCCCGTGTACTTGCCCGTGTACCGCTGGCAAGTTTTCAGTGCGTTAAGCTGGGAGCGTAGGTAACGTCTGCACAGTCACCCGTGGAAAGAGGTGCTGGGTGTGCCTGACACGGCAGCGCCTGCCTGAGGAAGGTCATGTCTGCCCAGGCGCTGCCAGCCATGCCCACCACACTGTTGAGTTATTTGTTTATTCAGTCAACACATATTTGTTGTTTATTAAATTAGCTGCTACCATATGCCAGAGATTCTGTTGGGCACTGGGTCTGTGAGGATGGTGAGGAGAGAGGTGAAGAAGGCAGTAATTTCCAGGCTACACTCTGGGTTGGCAAAGCAGAGGTACAACGACTTCCCGGCTGAAGCTGGGCAGTGTGAAGAGTCTGAGGACAGTGGGAAAACAAGAAAGGATGTTAGAGAATCCCACTGGGGGTTTTGGAAATCAGGCCATGAAGTGCTGACATTCTCTCAGGACTGTCACAGGGCTGGGGGTTTGGGGCAAGGCTGTGCCTTGATGAGAGATGTTTTACCAGGTTAGAGCAATGCAGACAAGTGCTGTCAGTTCCTGAATGGCCCTGTCCTGACAGGTCTTCACCCCAGGGTTTGTGGATACTGTGCCCAGACACTGGGAACCACCGATACCTCGTGTAACACTACATGGACTTGAATTGCAGCCAGAGGAAATAGGGGACACTTTAAGGACGGGGACACTGGGTGACCAATGTGAAAGAGCCTTGAAAGTGTGCACTCTGACTTGATGACCCAAGGGGCTTGTTCCCCAGAGCCACTCGGCCACACTGAGGCAGTGGAGTTTCGTCTGTGTGGCCAGTCTATCCCAGACCTCTGCTGGGGAAGCTGAACGGGGCTGGCTCTTGTGCATGGGAGTGATTTGCATGTCTGTAGGAGTGTCGTGGCTGTCCCTGACCATACCCTCCTGGACTGCACACTGGTCTCTCTTAAACTAACCCCTGTAGACATTTTGCCCAAGCCCACAGCCTCCACGGGGCCCTGGCGTGTCCACCATCTCCAAACCTGTCATGGTCCATCAGGAACCCAATTTCATCTACAGGCCAGCTGTGAAATCTGAGGTCCTGGTAAGACCCCTGGGAGCAGTGAACCAGGGCCCTCCTGCCTGGGCTCTGATATCTCTGGAAGGGAAGTGAGGTGTGGCAGTCAGATCAGGTGTCATCTTGGCACCTCCTTATTGGGCCACATGGTTTGCAATAGGTGTGGACCTGTCCCGTAAGATTCTTGTTCTTTGATTGACCACACAGCCTGAAGCTCCATGTTGAGTGTGGGGCTGAGCTGTCAGGTGTTCACTGTGTGAGCATGAGGACTTGAGCTCACCCCCAGGGTTCACATTTTTAAAAAGGTTGGGCATGATGATGTCGTCTGTGTACACAGGAGACAGGCACAGGCAGGTCCTTGGGGCTCACTGGCTGGTCAGCCTACCCTATTGTGACAGGTCACTGAGAGACCCTGTCTCAAAGGACAGGGTGGCTGGCATTGAGGAATGCCACCTGAGGTGGCCTTTGGCCCCCATCTACATGCACACATGTGCACTTTTGCACATGCACACACACACATGTGAATACAAATCAGAGTTAATACTTGAGACTTCGGGGTTGGGGGAGCTGCCAAGTATTAGGCTCTGTGTGGCTTCAGAAGCACCCTGGCAGACAGAACTCACAGCTGAGGAAGCTGAGGCGTGAGGGGGTGATGATCCTTGGCGCATCCTGGATGCTTACCCCAAGTCTCTGGAACCCCAAGCCATGCTCTTGCCCTTACTGCCATGCCTAAGAGATCGTGGTGGCCCTGACTGCATGCCAAGACCTACATGGCAAGGCCTGGAGCATCTCCACTGGGAAAATAGACAAGGAAGGTCCCCTTTGCTTCTCTGCCCTCACTAGGACCAGGTCTGGGGAAATAGAAAGGTCTGCTCACCCCAGTTCCCACAGCTAAGGGAGCCGGGGCTCACAGGCACCCCACAGGGCTCCAACCTCTGACTGGCCTCCCACAGCTATGGCAGAACTTTCCTTCCATTCAGGGTACCCCTACGCAAATGTCAGGGTGGGTCACTGGAGCGCTTATTTTGAGCTTTAGCGCAAAGGGTAAAGGTCATGCCCTGGGTCAGCCTGCTGAGTCCGCTGGTGCTCTCTGGTTCACGATGGGTGGTGTCTGTTGAGCTTCACAGTGACTGCTGCGTGGGAGGCCTCCAGGGTCCCTAACATCAGTCTGCGTGGGGAGGGATAGGCCCCAGGCTGGCAGCCCCAGAGCCCGGCACCAGGGGGCAGACGACACCCGTTTTTAACGTGGTGGGGACTGTCTTTCGTTCCCGGCAGCCTCAGGAGATGCTGAAGAGAATGGTGGTGTATCAGACGACATTCAGACAAGTAAAGTGACACCGCGGTAGCCGCGTGCCCGTGGCCCTGTGTGTCTGACCCTCCTCCACCCGTCTCACTCCCGACTCCTCCTTCTCCACTCTAGTTCCTGGCAATTTCAAGGCATCTCCAAGGCAAATTCCAAGTGCCATCTCCCAGGAAGCCTCAGGCCAGCACTGTCTCGCCCCCAACACGGGGACGATTTTAGAGCTTAAGCACTGAGAAAGATTCCCCATCCCTGCCCTCTGGTGGTCCAAAGAGGAAGTAGGGCAGGGGGAACCCTAGAGGCCAAGATGAGCCCTGGCTCCATCCTAGGAGAGAAGGAAGGGATGGGGCAGGGGAGCTGGCTACCACCTTGCTTCTCTGGTCTGTACTTGCTCCAAGCAGATCACAGCTTTCCTTGGTCTCAGGACATGGAGGCAGCTTGGCTCTTCCACTTGTCTGAGTCTCACTGGGACTTGGAAGCTCCTGCTGCCATCTGAGTTAGGTCAGACAGGTAGCCATCTAGCTGCCCTACATCCTGGGATTTGCATCCAGAGCCAACTACTGGATAGACAGTTTCACCACTAATGAAAGAGACCCCCAGATCAAAGGCAATCTGGCCACAGTCTCCCCAATTCTCCACTCACAAGCTGACTTGATAGGCAGAGAATAGAAGTAGTGGGGGTAGGAGGTACAGGCAGAGGGCCTGTAAAAGAGGCTGATGGGCCAGGACCGGAGATGGGCAGAGGACAGCCTATCCTTAGGGATAGGATTTCATCTACAGGCCAGCTGTGAAATCTGAGGTTCTGGTAAGACCCCTGGGAGCAGTGAACCAGGGCCCTCCTGCCTGGGCTCTGACATCTCTGGAAGGGAAGTGAGGTGTGGCAGTCAGATCAGGTGTCATCTTGGCACCTCCTTATTGGGCCACATGGTTTGCAATAGGTGTGGACCTGTCCCGTAAGATTCTTGTTCTTTGATTGACCACACAGCCGGAAGCTCCATGTTGAGTGTGGGGCTGAGCTGTCAGGTGTTCACTGTGTGAGCATGAGGACTTGAGCTCACCCCCAGGGTTCACATTTTTAAAAAGGTTGGGCATGATGATGTCGTCTGTGTACACAGGAGACAGGCACAGGCAGGTCCTTGGGGCTCACTGGCTGGTCAGCCTACCCTATTGTGACAGGTCACTGAGAGACCCTGTCTCAAAGGACAGGGTGGCTGTCCCTTGGACAGCCAAGCCCACTTTTAGATTCATCAAGGGTCTTAACTTCACAGCAACCAGGGATGGGAAACACAGGGAGCCATGGAGGGTTAGGGACCTGGTGTCAGACCCTGGATTTAGATCCAGGACATTGGTTCTTCTGTCTGTCATAAGCATGACGGCCACCTGCCTCTCAAAGCATTGCCCTTGCCCAGTAGACACTAAAAGGCCCACAGCTGGAGACACAAACAACTCTCAAGAGGAAAAAGACAATGGCTCAGGGTTATAAGGCTTCAAGCTTAGTGTTAAACCCTTGGCCTCCTCCTCTGACTCTTGTGACTTTAGGCATTAATGTCACCTTTCTGGCCTCAGTTTCTCCATTTGCTGAACAGAGGGCGTGGCTCTCTTAAGGGAGACCAGCAGTAATGTTTTATAAGTCTCAGAATTTGCATAAGACCTGCCACCCAGCCATCCCTGAGAACAGTGCTCAGGGTCCCACCAAGGGATGTGTGGCCAGCATGGCCCAGTATTTCAAAAGGAACAGCCAGGGATAGAACAGCCTCTCTTGGTGACAAGGACACGGGTCCCAGATTCTGCCTAGTAACCTCCCTGGTGCTTAGATATGCTGTGTCCCTGTTCTATGTGCTGTCTGACGTGTGCGAACAGATCTGGATGTGGGCCCTGACCTTGGCCACACAGATCCAAGGCCTCACGGGGGTTCAGCCTGGAAGATAAAAGGCTATGGGGAAAGGGTGCAGGCAGATATCGGGGTCCATCTTCTGAAGGTGGGCCCTCATCTTGTGCCCCGAGTTTCATGGCTGCAGTCTGGGCAGGGGCAGGATCTCTGGCCTACTCACAGTGCTGACTTCAGGCCTCAGGAGACACTTGGTGTGGCCTAGGGAGCTGTGTGGCCATCTCTCCTCTGGGGGCTGGCTGTGGTTTTGTCCTAACTCAGGAATAGCCTGGCTTCTGAGGCCCGTGGGTGCCCTAGCTCAGCCATGTGTGTGTGACTCCTAGGCCATTCGCCCTGGCTTTGCCTGCTTATCCTCACCATGTTATTTCCAAGTCCTGGCTGTCTTAGCACAGCAACCTCACCATGCCAGGGCCCCAAGGCTTTGTGCCCTTTCCTTGGGGAGGGGGTTCTTACTTCCTAGATCAGCAAAGGGGAGCCAGGCACTTGCCCCCCTAACGTCAGCACCACCTCCCTTCCTTTGCTATGGAGAGCCGTCTGCCTTCCTCCGTCACTTTGTGGCCATGTTCTCCAGCACAGGTGGCTCCTGGACAGAGCCGCTCCCCTCTGTGAGGGCAGAGCACTGAGCAGAGAAGCATGGCTTCTCCCTTATGGCTTGGTCACAGCCTCCAGTGGGGACCTAAAAGGCCAGCTTGGGCCAGACAGGCCAGCAGAATGAGACTTCCTCTGAGACAAGGACCAACTGCGTAGGCACCCAGATCCCAGTGGTATCCCCGAAGCCACAGATGGCCACCCACTGAACAGAGCAGAGACAGGCCAGGCTCCTCCAAGTGCTTCCTGCAGCTTCCTGCCTGCCCCCTCCCCACTCTGTTACTTCATCTGCTGTGGCTGCCGACCTCCTCCCTCCACCCCCGTCCTGAGCACAACTGTCCCAGTCCCCTGCTCACCTCTGACCTCTGGGATTCGGCTCATTTGCCTCTTTCTTGCCTGTCTGAGTTTGTGGCGTGCCTCTGTGGCCTCTTCGCTCCATTCTAAAGCCCTGCCTTTGCTTCCAGGATTTCCGAAAATATGAAGAAGGCTTTGACCCCTACTCCATGGTAAGCGGGAACACTGTATCTCAGGGGGAAGAATGGGAGGTTTATTCTGAACCTGTGGCTCACAGAGAGCCCAGCAATGTCGCACGATGTTCTTTCCTGCAAAGGCTCCATTTAGATGGCCTTTCCATGACTGACAGCCATGGCATGTGTTCTGCATGCGTGTGTATACATGTGCACCGCATGTGTGTGCTGTATGTGCGAGTGTATGTCCCATGTATGCGTGTGCACAAGCTTCCTGCCAGGCCCCAGCCATGTGTTCACATGCTTTCTGCACCCAGTAACCCTGTAACGGTGGGGCTGGCTGGGCCTCATGGCTCTGGGGGGGGGTGTCCATTGTCGAGGCTAGGGCCACTCCCACCCTTCAGCAAGCTCACAGCGGTCCCCACCCTGCTTTTCTGTTTCTAGTTCTCACCAGAGCAGATCGCAGGGAAAGATATCCGGCTTCTGCGCATCAAGAAGGTACCTGGTCGCGGGGCGGAGGCTGGTCACCATCCTTATCTGCCCGTTGGTGACTTGACAGCTTCCTGCCCCTCTCCCCATCGCCCCCGCCACCGGGGGTTGCTGTTCCTTGTGTTGGGGGGGCGGTGCACACTCAACCCAGACCTGTTTTCTCCCGCGACTCTCCCTGGCCTCTGCACTGGACGGCCGCCCTGTGAGACTTCCTGATGCCCACAGGCTGCTGTCTGTGTGGTCACCTAAGCTCTGCTTTCCTCCACCCAGGAGGGGTCTTTAGACTTGGCCTTGGAGGGTGGAGTGGACTCCCCTGTGGGGAAGGTGGTCGTCTCTGCGGTTTATGAAGGGGGAGCCGCTGCTCGGCATGGTAAGTACGGACCGGCTCTGCCCATTCGGGAGATAGTGCGATGACTACACCACACGCACCAGGAGAGCAGACGGCCACTGCCTTAAATGGCCTCACAGTTGTTCAAGAATGTCGGGTGCATGCAGCAAACCATATAGCTAGTCTAAGACATTGTCTGGGCCTGGGCCATGATGCCAGGACCTGAGGTGGCATGGCCAGATGCCACCCTAACCCCTAGGAACCCCTAGGCCAATGTCAGAAATGGGCTCAGAGCCTTAAAGTAGGATCATCAGCCAAGGATCGGAGGGAGTGATGGCGGGAGGAAAGCCATGAGAACCAGGGGTGTGGGATGCAGTGAAGCCTACAAAGATGGCTGGTGAAGAGAAGGAAGCCTTCCAGGGAGAAAGGGCTCGGAGGTGCCGCCGTAGAGCAGGTGGTCTGTGGAATGAGGCACATATCAGGCCTTAGACTACGGGCCTGGCCACAGCCCTGGGACTAAGGAGTTCATGGTATTCACTCATCGAATCCGTTCATAACCCCATTCACAGCTTAGAAACAGATGAGGTGAGGTCAAGCCATGTCTTCAAGGATCTCCAGCCAGTGAAAGATGCCAGGCAGGACTTGAATCCAGGCAAACTGGCCATTTGGTTTAGTGCCCAGTATAGGTAGCACCCCCAGGTGCTTCCCCAGCCTGGCCCCTCCCACAGCGCCAGAGACCTCCCACCCCTATGCCATACACATGGCCCTCCCTGTGCCTTCCTTTCCTTTCGGGGAACACCCAGTGCTGGGGCTGGGGTGTGGCTCAGCTTTAGAGCGATTGCCTAGCATGCATGAAGCCCTGAGTTCCACCCCAGCACTGTATAAACCAGCATTGGTGGCAAGTGGCTGTAATCCCAGCACTTGGGAGCCGAGAGCATGAGGATTAGAAATTCAAGGCAACTTAGTGAGTTTGAGGCAAGCCTGGGCTACATAAGACCCTGTTGTTGTTTACAAACCAAAACCAAAAACAGAAATCGCCATTTACTGAGTCAGGCCCCAGGCTGCCTCTTGCTTCACACTGTGAACTCACTCACCTGTCAGCCTTTGAAACCTTGTGTCTCAAACTCCATTCTTTATTGATGCTTCTGCCACACAGACAGGTCTCCTGTGCCCCAGGGGCACTTTGTAGAGCCCAAGTCCCCTTCAATCCTAGGCTACAGCAGAAAATCCGAGGATCAGATCCCTTCAGACTACAGCAAAGCCCGCCAGTAGGCAGAGAGGGCTAGGACAGGAGCTGGAGACAGGAGTCTGAATGAAAGGCAGCTGGGCTTCAGCAGTCACTGAGCCGGGCAGTGCACCCAGCTGCCCTGGGTGATGTCCAGCCCTGCCAACCTTGGCCTCAAAGAGCCCCCCCCCCCCCAGACAGTCCCACTCAGATCCTGATCTCAGCCCTCGGAGGCTCTGCTCAGCCTGGCCTCTTGTAACTTCCTGTTACTGAACACTCCTATCCCCATTTCTGTGCAATCTGACGGATGGTTTGCTGCCTGGCCCACCTTTGTTTGTCAGGGAAGGACCTATGCTGCTCCCTGGGTCCCCTCGTGGCCTCACTGAAGGTCACTTATCCTCAGTCCCTCTGCGCAGGGAAATCTGCTGCATGAGGTTTGGTCTCATGCTTGGTTAGACATCTCAGGACATTCCCAGGAACACGAGTTCCAAACTATGGCTGCCACCTTGCTAACACACACCGCACAACTGTGACCTTTGCACTTGCAAGGCTTCCAAGTGATTGATTTCCATGTGACAAAGTGTTAGTGTTCTGTGCACACCAAAGCCAGAATTCTCTGCAGAGAGGAGGTTTGATGGCTGAGAGGTGTAGGAGATTTACATAAGCTGTGTGCTTACATAGCCTCGGTGCGTATCAGCACAGCCGGGGCTCTCGAGGGTCATGCAGTGAGTAGCTTGTTCGGTCTCCACTTCACACCTGCCTAGAACCACTAGATCCCAGGACCGCTTATCCAGCAGCGAAGCTCAGCGCTTTTCTTTTTTAAAAAACATCCTGCTGTTGAGTCCCTATTTCGTGTTAAGTGCTATAAGAAGTGCTGGGTGAGCCAGGAAGGCGGTCCTGCCTTTGAGGAGCTGGGAGGGTACCGGGAGGGGGTCACAGCACACGTGTGACACGCTGTGGTCACACTGAAAAGTGCTGAGCATGCTGGGAGGGAATTAAAGGGACTTGTTTCTAATGGCGCTAGCATGGCCGACATTGGAGGGGGGTCACTGTCCTTGATGGCTCAGGCTCTTTGAATTGCACCCAAAGTGTAGGTCCGCCCTGCTGCGATGTGCAGGTCCGGGGTGCCAAGGACTCCTCTGTGGTCTCCTGGCTCTGCAGAGCCTATGGCGAGCCTGTGAGCTGGACCTTTGAGGAGCTGAGTCTGGTTTTGCCCTTCAGGAGCTTTCAGGCCCAGGGTGGAGCCTCTTCCCTGTCCCACAGCGGTGAGCCGCACTAACCCCTGAATCAGGCGCACGTGACAAGTAGTCAGGTGACCTGTCTGCTTCTTCCCGAAGGTGGTGTTGTGAAGGGGGACGAGGTCATGGCCATCAATGGCAAGACTGTGACAGACTACACCCTGGCTGAGGCTGAGGCTGCGCTGCAGAAGGCCTGGAATCAGGGCGGGGTGAGAGCCGCCCTCCCCTCCTCCCTCACCACCTGCCTGACGCCAGACTGAAGCCTGGCCTTACAGTGGCAATGGCCCAGGCCAGGGCTGGTACCCAAGGTCCAGAGAGTGGAGTGGACCTGGAAGACTGAGAATTGCCACTTCGTGGTCTTGAGTCCCAATGGCCAGTATACAAACACAGAGTCCAGAAGACTGGGCGTGGCCGAAAAGAACTCCAGGGTCTTCTCTAAGTGTGTGCTAAGTAGGGATCAAGAGAGTGTCGGTGGGCCTGCTGGAGAGAACAGGCTGGAGGGCAGATGCCAGGGTGTGGTAGTCTGTTCCGTGCTAACCAGATGCCCCACACGGATGAGGCCTGCACGGATGAGGTCTCTCGGGGTGTGCACAGTCTGAGGGGTGCCCTCTTCAGACTCTAGTGCAAATGGTGCCCACTCAGGCCGTGCAGTGCACACCTGTGCCACTGTGTGCAGACAGCTGAGCCTGAGGTATTAAGTTCAGTGCCGAGGAAGCTGACCAGATGGGCCTGGGACCCACATGAAAGGATGTGGAGACGAGAAGACCAACGGGTAACACGCTGATGACTTTGGTGCTCTGAATGGCTGTGTTAGGACAGAGGGAGCCGTTGTGTTCCGTGTTCCCGGAGCGAAGGGAGGGAGGCCACAGGGTGGGGGAGAGCTCAGCACAGGGTTGGGAAGGGGGGAGCATTGCTCTTTTAGGTCTTGCCGGTGAACACATCCGAGGCTAGGGTGGACAGTGTTGGGCAAGCCAACAATGGCGATGATGCCATTGGGGGAACTGAGTACCACCAAGATCAGAGAGTGAGGCCTAAAGAACCCATGTTTGCTATGGCTCAGGGTCATGGGTACAGCTTGTCTGTGGCACCTTTCCTAGGATGTGCCCAGACTATAAGGGGTCACCTCTATCAGTCCATATATGATTGATTCAGAAATGGCTGCCCAGCCCTGGTCCACAGATCTACAGTGGGAACTTGGTGCCACCTGAGAGTCTAGCAGCCCTTGCTAGACCCCTGCTCTTGGGGGAGTGCTTTCCCAGAGTGTGAGGCCCCCAGAAGGGTGCCCCAGCTCTCAACTGTGTCTTTGGCTGACCCTGAGCTACGAAGCCCAAGAGTGGACCAGAACACTAGGCAGGTCCATAACTCACCCCTCCGTGTGCCTGCGGTCACACGGTTTCTCCCCACAGGACTGGATAGACCTTGTGGTTGCTGTCTGTCCCCCCAAGGAATACGATGACGAGCTGTAAGTATGTGCAAGGCACCCTGCCCCTGCACCCGTGTTCTCCCAGGATCCTGGCCACCTTCCTCCAACCTCCCCCGTGAAAGGGATGCCCTGGCATGCATCTGCGGGCAGTCATGGGGCCTGGAACACCCTGAGCTAACCGCAGAGCAGAGTCATGGGCCTTGGCAGTGTTAGCTCATGGTCGCTGGCCCATCCCCATCCATCCAGCCTAGTCTCCATCCTACATGACCTGAGGGTTCTAAAGTGCCTACTGGAACCCAGGGCCTCCCCCAACAGTAACCGACCCCCTTGCCTCCTGCTCCACCCTGCTTTCGTAGCTCTTCTCTTCCCTCTGCAGCCGAAAGTCCCCAGCCGGTCCGAGAGCAGCTTGAAGCCCATGAGCCCCTGTGTAGACACGGGTTCACCCTGCAGCTGGAGCCCACGGTGACTAGGCAGGCAGCCGCAGGGCCCTGTCTGCCCATGCCGCGTGCCATGTGCTGCCCACAATCCTGGCAGGTTCTTTGGACTGGTATCTGAAGGGAGATAGAGGCAGCCTACAGGAATGTCTCCCCTGGGGCTTCTGTCAATGGCAGGGATGCCCAGCTGGGAACCCTGGCTGAGGACCTGGGGGTTCTGATGCCCACAGCCCTTGGGACCTGCTTTGGGTCACACTCAGAACCTAGTTGGAGCAGGGCAACACTGAGCACAATGGTGCCTCCCCGCTGCTGGACTAGGCTGAAGAACACTGAAGCCCGCTGAATCTCCACACAGGGGCCAATTTCCTGTGAGAGCCCCTGCAGGAGCCCCACGCCCTGCTCGATTGGGCAGAGCCATGACATTCAAGCTCTTTAAGCTGGTCCAAAGAACCAGGGTTGGTGGATTCCATTATGTGTCCTGTTGTGCCCCAAGCCTTGCTCAGCCCATGCTATCCTTGGTCTCCTTCCCTCCGTGATCTGGGCCCTCTCTGTTGAGCCATGGAGCCAAGCTTTGGAGTGTCCCCACCCATGTCCTGTACTTGCTGCCAGTGACCCTGGAGTGTCGTGGCCTGAAACCCACAGGCAGGGCAGCTCCAAACATGGTTGCTTCTGTCAAAAATTCCCCGAAACCTCGCTCATGCTCATGCTCATGTACTAAGACAGTGGAGCTAGCCCACCATGTCCTCTATGGCTGTTTTGTCACTTGCTCTTCGGGACAAGCCATTCCTGTCCTTCCTGATGCTCCCATCCCCTCACCTTCTGCTTCCTCCCTGGCTCCTGTGTGCTGTGGCTGGTGTGTTGCTCAGGGCCGAGCTGAGAGGCCCTGAAAGCCGGAAGGGCCGTGTGCTGCTACGGTGGGCCGGCCGTCGACTGAGAGTCGTTTACAAGGCCTGTCCACCCCATCTGGTTCCTCTTCCCCACAGGACCTTCTTTTAAAGTCCAGAGATGGAAGCCAACCAGACTCCATCCTGGAGGCTGGCGAACTCTGCAGCCAGCCCCGGCACTCAGCCTGAGAGAACAAGTCCCTGGAAACTGCCCCACAAGAAGCACAAACCCCAGTGGCCTGGCCCACCTCTGACGTCGCCAAGAAGCGGAACAAGGGGCAGCTGCTGTTCTGGGGGTGGCCTGTGGAATTCTTGCTCCCACTTCTAGCTCTACTGAGAAGGCCCCTCCCGGCCTAAGTACCCCTTCCTTCACTCTAAGGATACCTAGCTCCTGCATCTCTCCTGTCCTCTCTCCTGCTGTAATCACCACTGAAAATCTGACTGTGGGCTCCCTAATAAACAAGATTGACTCCTTTTCCAACTTATGAGGGTGATTGGATAGACAGCAGACTCAAAGCTGTTGAATGAAAAATGGGAAGGTCCCACAGCTATGATCTAGGCAAGGCATGCAGAGGTGACTGGTGGCCGGGGCTGGCTCAGAGCTAAGGAGGAGGTAGCAGGACCCAAGCTGGGCTTCTTGATGTCCCTGCCGTAGAGGGGACATCAAGACACCTCAAGGTATCTCGGAGGTTGCCAGGGTCGGGTGATGAGACC